AACGCGAAAAAATGGCGCTGGACAATTTTAAAAGAGAAATCGAAATACTGTGAAAGTATACTCTCTCAGTACTATATCGTTTTCCAAGAGCAAATTTCTAAGAAAGTCGCGAACTCCAACTAGAGCCATCCTCAGCAGGCTAAGTTAGCTGTTGACAGGTCTCTAAAATTTATCAGAAAAAGCAAACGCATAATTGATGCTTTTTTTTTTTTTTTGTATCGTGGAATGCTCTTTGATCTTTCAGACTTCGAAAAAATAGGTCTAGGAAATGAGCTGCATATCGCAGGTGGAAATAATTGAAACCAGGGCAAAAATAAAACGAAGAAAGAAAATTAAAAAAAGATTTAAAGAAAGGGTCAGTAACAAAAGGCAACAATGAATCCCTAAAAATCAAGAACGAGAATTTAGTTAAGGGAAGTAGCCGGTGCTATTGCGAAACGTCTTTATTGATTATGCACATTTACTTCCCTTGCTTGCAAATAGGTATGTGAACTATTTTTGTAAAAACCCATAAGTAACAACAATACTACGACTAATAGTGATAATAATAATAATAATGATGATGATGATGATAATGATAAGGATACTAAAATGAAAATGATAATAATAATGATAATAATAATAGTAATAATGATAATATGTGACAACAATACTTATTTTATAACAATACATTTATATAGCGCACAACACATCTCAACAGCAAGCTCTATGTGCTTTACAATCTATACAATTATTAATAGCCCAGTAGACCTTCGAAAACTCAAAGACCCTCGCAGTTTCCGGGAAGCATACAGTTCAAGCTGCTGATTTAGAGCTCAAACTCTAACAAATTGACAAGATTTTTCCCTATCTACAGACGGGTACCCAATCTTACCCTGGTAAAGGGAAAAAGCGTGTAAAATGAACACAACATTTCTTTTGGCATGAGGGGGATGGCGGCGGCACCTGACGGGGTTCGAACCTACGACCTTTCGGTTGAAAGCCCAACAGCCTAACCACCAGACCACAAACGCCACCGTTTTCTTATGATCACAGTAAAGCTGATAACAACAAACTCCCTTCACGGATAAAAATCATCGTCCTAAAGTTTAAATAGGGCACGCTAAGGAAAGGAAACTGTAAAAGACTGAGTGTACATATAACTGGAACATGAAAACCAGTTTCTCTTTAGTTGTGATATTCATTGTGATATTTATTGTGATATTCATTGTGATATTTATTGTGATATTCATTGTGATATTTATTCTGATTTTCATTGTGTTGATTCGGGGTTTTTTGGTTTTTAAAAATCTTTGTGCCCTTTCGTATACTGATGTTGCATATAAGTAGTCTCTCTCAAGCCAGGTCATTTAATGAGCCTATCTTTTAATCCGCCATGACAAAAAAGCGTTGGTTATACAAGCAAGCAAGCAAGCGAATAAACAAACAAACAAATAAAAAGACGAACAAACAAAAAAACAAAACTCCATACTTTTTCACACCTTTTCACCCTTTTCATCTTCTGCGTCGGTGAGCGTCCGGGAGATGTGCAGTTTTTTAATATGAAAGGCCAACTCTGCAGTTGTTTTCTTGATGTTATGGGTTTGCCCTGATTACAAATCAAGCAGATAGGTAAAAAAAAAAAAAAAGCAACCCAGTGAAATAGCAACAAAAAAGCAACAAAAACTATCTAAACATAATAAGTCGACCAAAATCAACAAAACAACGTATTATGCAAATCACCAATAGATCACATACCTGACCAACCAACAAGAACATTTTCCTTACGACAAATGCATAAATAAATATCAATGAATCAAATAAAACAAACGCTTTTGGCGACTTTTATGCTAATCTGCCCGTCAATCCTTCAAGGTTGGTAAAGCAGAAGTAATTTGTGTGCAATCCTGGGAAGCTACTGCAATCCACAGTCGTCTATCTGGGTTTTTTCTGGGAAAAGGGGGGGGGGGGATATCAGGCTTATAGATGGTCCAATTTTGTATCCGCCTCCACGCTCTCTCTGTCTCTCTCTGTCTCTCTCTGTCTGTCTCTTTCTCTCTCTCTCCTTCTCTCTCTCTCCTTCTCTCTCTCTTTCTCTCTCTCTCTCTCTTTCTCTCTCTCCTTTCTCTCTCTCCTTTCTCTCTCTCCTTCCTCTCTCTCTCTCTCTTTCTCTCTGCCCCCTCTCTCTGCCTCTCTCTCTCTGTCTCTCTCTTTGTCTCTCTCTCCGTTTCTCTCCGTCTCTGTCTCTGTCTCACTCACTCTGTCTCTGTCTCTGTCTCTGTCTCTGTATCTGTCTGTCTGTCTCTCTCTCTCTCTCTCTCTCTCTCTCTCTCTCTCTCTCTCTCTCTCTCTCTCTCTTTTTTTTTTTCTTTCTCGTATTCCACTTTTCCGACTTTCTCTTTTCCTTTTTGTTTCTGTCTCTCCCGGCTCCATCCTCTCTGTCTCCTTTCTCTCTCTCCCTTTTTCTCCCTCCTTCTCTTCTGCCTCCCCTTCTTTCTCTCTCTCTCCTTCTCACTACTCTCTTCCCCCCTTCTCTCTCTCTCTCTCTCTCTCTCTCTCTCTCTCTCTCTCTCTCTCTCTCTCTCTCTCGATGCTTCCATTTTCTCACTGAGAATGAGCCAGTGCTTTATGAGTGTATGCGTTTATGTATTATGGTATGTTTAAAGATATGTAACTTTCCTTTGTGTCTCTGTCAGGGTCATTCTTCAGTCCTCATATAAACTCAGAAAACGACACTTAAGAACGACGTAAAAGTAAACCAGTCTTAGCCATTAGTTTTTCATCAATACCACTAAGGGAGAGGTCGGATTTGTTGTTTGAGACTGATTATCAAACGAATGACGATCAATCAATTAATCAATCAATCAACCAACCAATCAATCAATCAATCAACTAATCAACTAACCAAGAAAACCAACTACCCCCCCTCCCCACTAACCCAAAAGCCAAACAGCCAGCAGCCCACCTAATAAAAAAAGATTGTATAATTAATGAACCAGTATTTGAAACACACCTTTCAATCCCAGAAGAAACCATTACGTTACATAGCCCGTCAGTTTTTGTCGCTCTGTGTAGGATTGGGGTGGGGTGCCAAATCCCTAACATTTCTATCTTAGACCTGAATCTACTTTCTGTGGACAGCAAGGAAGTCAGGATGAGCAATTCTCTGGTGTAATCCACCTCCTCACTTCTCTCCGCCCCCTCTCTCTCTGTCTCTCTCCTCTCACTCTCTCTATCTCTCTTTCTGTCTCTCTCTCTGTCTCTCTGTCTCTCTGTCTCACTCTCTGTCTCACTTTCTCTCTCTCTCTCTCTCTCTGTCTGTCTCTCCTCTCTCTCCCTGTCATTGTTAGTCCACAGTAAACTCATACAATGAGATCAATTATACTCCACTGAGATGTTTCACAAAAACAACCGGCTACCTAAATGAGACACTTAAGAACGCCGCAAAGCTAAACAAGACTTCACCATTAATTGCGCCTTCCTAGCACTCTGGGAGAGGTCCAATTTATCGTCCGAGGTAGCCAGACAAACGAGACAACTCTGAATAGGCCAACAGAGGTCATTAAGCGACGGTAATTGAATCACTGAGGTCTCTCCCGTAATGACGGTTCATTCCAGACTGGGCCCCCAACGGGACCCGGGGTTGCGACGACGGATCATTCTTCTTTTCTGATCGCTACCCCAACCCATCGATTATATACGCACGCGCGCGGGCCGTGAGCGAACGTTAGCGTGAGTGAGCGAGAAAGGAAGTCGTTGCGCACCGGCATCGTGGTGCGTTTCAGTGCAATCCGACGCTCTGACTCGGAGCTTGGGACGTGCTGGCGTTCGCCAAACTCCCGCCACCATCGAGTGACGAAACCCAGCGTTTTGGCATAGCGACCTGGCACTGGTCGTGAGTCGCGTCTGGCGCGTGCGGAGTGAGTGGACAGTGTTGTGATACCCGTATTTTCTCCGCCACTCGATAGAATATCAACACCACGAGTGATAATTTGTTCAACGCCTTGTTGTTCCTTTTTGGTACTTTGGGAATCTGATTTTCGCATATTTTCCTCTGTGGTTTAATAATTACTGTAGTGAGAAATACTTTTTTCCCTTGTAAATGGAGGTAGGGAAGATGTAATTTTGTTTTCTTTTCATTTATGTACTAATAACACTTGCTTACGATCCCAACATTGCTCTAATTTACTTCTGCCCCCCC